AGTTCAAAAAAAAGGATCCTTGCACGGGTATTGCAGCTGTGAAGCCCAAAACCCATCTATGGCATTGTTACTATATCCATGGTATCTAATCACCACCCAACGAAACCCTTGCAACTGTAAACCTAATTACCACCAAGTAAAAGTCCTTATATTGCTACTTTAGCCGCAGAGCTTGATGTTACTTACCATTACCATTTAGCCTATTAAACCAAGTGTCAACAATTACCTTAGTTGCCGAGTCACCGCAAAATGAGCAATAGTAAAGGAAAAATGACTTCTCATTACTAGCTTGATAAACGTAGTTAATAAAAGCATTAAATACAAGCCTTCTACCAGCAAAAAACCTCCTATATAATGTACCCAACAACTCGACGACTAACGAATAGAATGAACCTAAAAGTCCTATAAAAAAAAAGTATCTCACGATTCAATAATTTCAGTAAATAGACAATAATCCAACAACTAATTATAAAAAGTAAACAAAGCCTACTAATTACTATAATTTATTAAGTGCCTACTTTTGCTCTTATGAAAACTCTCTGGAGAAAGCGATTGAAAACGATTGGAAAAGAATTTCTATTAGGAGCACTCATAACGAAGAAAATTTATTATTAATAAATGTAGGCACGATTGGTTAAACTTATTATGGTTAATCACGTGAATTTTTGAACTTTTAGACTACTATCGTATACGTATCAATTTTTAAATTGCACATATAAATAATTTGTGTAACAATAGTTCCGGAATTTATCGGATACGAGTGTCTTCTATGCTTATACAATCACCACAATAGGGCGCGACGGACTTGGTGATTGTAGGGAGGTCTGACTGTATATATTTTTTATAAAAGCAATCCATTGAAAATTTTTTTTTTGAATATCAATGAATTTCTAAAGAAACTAGTTGACTTTTTTGGCCCAAACTTTTCTAAATTCTGGCAAAATAAAAATAAAATTTAATTTTGACCAGAATTTAGAAAAGTTATAAGTTTTAATTAAAATTCTAGTCCAAAATCCTAACCAACCCTAAAAACAAGCAAAAAAAAACTCCCAAAAATTTTAAAATTTCATATCAAAATAGGTCCAAATTTCAACATCAGCCGTGACAATAATTTTTCGATAGAAGCTACCAGGACATCGTTTTCTCAAACGTGACATCAGATACTTCACAAATACTTTATTTTTTTACATGTAACACATATTATATTTTTATACTTATTTGGATCATCTTCAAGAGAAATATTGCACTTGAAATTATTTACCATGCTTATTTTAATAATTTTATCAAATAACGATAGCTGTCGTGCCATCCCTTTTAAAGATATTACTTTGATTTTATCAGGTCTGGTAAATAATTTATAATAAATTGAAGATTGTTACTAACATTAAAAAAATATGCATTATTCGAATTAACGTTAAGAAACTGACTTTTTTTGAACCTTGTACATTTTAAAATCCAAAAACATCTGTATATTTTTTATTTTTCAGGAAAATACACATCGATATTGATAATTAAAATTTATTTATTTATAAACATTAAAAAAATTATACATCGTAATAAATTATAATCGATTTCTATTCACGTGATTGTAGAAAAATTCGGGTATCGTTGGGGTAATTAGCTAAATACAGGGCAAAAGTAACTATTTTTAGAGCGTAAAAAAATGGTATCTAGTGTATAAGTTGCATAAAAAATTTACTTGCACCAACTTTATCTCCAAATCTTTATTACCCGTTCTTCTCATTACTAAATTATAAAGATTGTTATTATTGAAATTTAAACCACTAATTAAATTTTATTGTGTTAATTTCTATTCTTCATGCTTCGGACAAATATTGGTTTCAGATTCTTAGTTGTAAAACGAAGCCAAGATGTTTTATACTCATGCAATTAAACAGTATCAACTGTATTTAATTTTTTAAATTTTTAAAATCTTCGATTTATCATTCGACGAAATTTTTTCAATAAAAGTGGATATCATTAAATGTACCATTACTATAAAAAGAATGCAGAGAGGAAAAGGTATTAATAAACATGCATGTTAAACAGATGAAAATTTGCTGTCGTTGTTATTGCTTACAATTTAATAATAACTATACGGGAAATCGTTCTGCTGATAGTTATTATCGATAAGACATGCTAGAAATATCGCATTGACAAGTTCAACCAAATCGTTCTGCTGAAAATTATTATCTATACCAAATGCTAGAGGCATCGCATCGACAGGTTCAACTAAGTTGTCCGCAGCATTTAACTGGAAAGCGTAAATGTCACCTATGCTGACTGTCAGTGGATATGTATTATAGATACGAAAAACGTTATTAGAAGTATTAAGACCGAGCACAATAAATAATTAAAGATATATATACCAGATAGTGCGGGTGTTATGTATGAATCAATGCTAACGATATTGTACGAATCAGTAACGCTAACGATATTGTACAAATCAGTAGATATAACGTCGTTTTTAACTACATGTAGGTACACACAAATTCTAAAGATTAGTAACATGAAAAAAAATCAGATGCAACTAAATATACTAGATGAACCTTGGTTCAGCAGGAAATCCGGTGTGAAAGAATTAGCATTAGTATAGTTTTGCGCGAAAGTTTGCACATAGACATATTCTTTTTGCTCATTAATATTTTGATGTGGTTCTATGCTTGAATGGGCGGACGTGTTTGATATAATGTTATCTAGTTTTAGGTTTGAAGTGTTAATCCCTGTTCGTTGTCGTTTAGAATTAGCCTCATTCAGCTTTTTAGAATC